CTCGCAGCTCAGAAGACGTTGGACCTAGAAGACGAGGAAGCGAGGAAGAACATATTTTATCGCACTAAGGAAGAGTGTTTGTCTTTGTATAAACGCTATGCTCACAAAAAGGGTTTGGTGTTCGAATAGATGGGGAAGACCTAAAAAAAATAAAGAATTCTAAAGGAGTGGTGTATAAAAATTATTTATAATTTTATAACTTTAGTAATAAGTAAGGTTTCACTTTCACTAGCGAAGTAAATGTGGACAAACAGAGAAAGTCGGAAGACAATGTTGTGAAGAGAAGGCGCCCTAAGAGGCCTCGAGTTAGGGATGGATGTAGTAGACGAATTTGTGGTGTATGAATTTGTAGGAGCCCACAGTCATGATTCACACTCTACTGAGCATACACACCTGCACAAGTCCAACAAGTGAAAGAGTGATGCTCAGAGAAAGATGACCAAATTTAATCGCGATGTCATGATGAATCTTAGTGCATCGTATAAGCTACTGGCTGATTGTGCCAATGGGTATCAAAATCTGACTTTTACCAAATCCGATCAGAAGAACCACTTGAACAGTAAACGACAAAAGAAAATGGCTCGTGGCGAAGCGACTTATTTGCTTGACTAATTTGAGGACCAAAAGGACAAGCATCTCGACTTCTTTTATGCTGTAGAGGTGGATTGCGAGGAGAAAGTTACTAATATTTTTTGGGCGGAAAGTTGGGTGCGTGAAGATTATGCTTTTATTGGAGACTCAATCTTCTATAATACAACCTTCCGAACCAATAATACTTCCCTCCACTGGGTACGTGAATCACCTAATTCTCTTGTGTTTTCTGGACACTCGTTCGGTTATGCATTGTCATAACATGGTTATCTTGTGCAGGGACTTTGTAGGTTTCAATCACCACCGTCAAACTTATGTGTTTGGTGCTTGTTTATTGTATGATAAGACTACTCCTTATTTTGAGTGGTTTTTTGTTGCATTTAGTCGGTGTATGAAGAAGAAGCTCTTAGTCACCATCTTTACCGATCAGGACGCCGCCATGACAGATGCTCTTAGAAAGGAGTGGTCTGCTGTGTTTCATGCGCTCTGTACTTGGCACATACTAATGAATACCACAAAACATTTTTGTAATTAGGAGTGGGCATCGGTTTGGTTCAGTTAAAATCGAACTGAATAGGAGCATACTGGGTCTTCCAAACCGTTTATAGGTGCAACAAAATTCAAACCAAAATGTATTCGCGTTCGGTTCAGGATCCTGACCAACCCGAAGCTATAGAGAAATCTTCCCTTCCCCTAATTTCCCACAATCTTTCGTACTCTCTCTTTCCCTAACTTTCCCACTTTCCCACTTTCCCTTCACCTCTCCCTCTGCTACTCTCTCTCTCTCCCAAACAAAATTTTGACTCTTTCTTTAACCCTTCCCTCTGTTGCTCTGCATTCTATCCTTCCCCAACAAACTCTCTCCCAAACAAAATAGTATCCCAAACAAAGTTTAATTTCCAGAGGAAAGAGAGAAAAATGAAAAGTAGAGATCTCAAAGGTGCTGGTTTTTAGAGGGAGAATGAAGGGGGAATGATAGATCTATTCTGCGGAGGGGGCAGAGAATGAGGATATGCTACCGGTGGCGAAGTTAGGGGAGACTAATATGAGTTCTGATTCAAATCTTTGGTCATGCTCTGCTACCCGCGACGGTGACTCCTGAGTGCAATGCAGAAATGGCGGGTGGTGTCTGTGGAGTGGATGTGGGGGCAGGCGATCAATGATGGGAGGGTGACGCCGAGACGAGTTGAGAATTGAGGGTTGGGACGGACTGAGGGAGGGTTATGGTTTGAGACTTTGAGAGTGGCCAAGAGAGATGATCGGTGGAGAGGGGGAGAGGGCTAGGGATTAGAGTGATTTAGGTTAGGGTTTGTTTCTGTGGGAGGATGGAAGAAGGAAACTCGCGGGTCGGGCTAGCATACACAGGCCAGGAGCAGCAAAGGGTTTGGGCGTGGCCTACCAGCAGCTTCAGAGTTCAGGCTTCATTTTCGTGGTTAGGCTAAATTTTCGGGTTACGGTTGGATATCGAAAATCAGTTTGGGGTGGCACGACCATGTAATCCGAATTGGGGGGTTTCTGTATCCGAATTCCGATCCGACAGTGGAAATTTCTGTTTCAGTCGGTTCGGGTTTGGTTCAAAGAGTTAAAACCGAACCGGATGCCTACCCCTATTTGTGCCTACCCCTATTTGTAAGGGTAAGGCATTTTGGAAGAAGTTCCAAGATCATCTTTCTATTATTTTCCCTAATAGCGACATTTCGGACGGCCACCCATGTTTGGAATATTTGAAGAAATTTCAGCATCGATGGTGTTCCTTATGATTGAGAGATCAATTCACAGTCGGTATGTTGACTATGCAAGGAAGCAAGTCTTGCAATGCATAAGTGCGACTTTTCTTGAAACCGAGGCATGATTTGGACTTGTTTTTCATTCATTTTAGCAATTACACAAGCAGAATATTACTTTGCCCTTATTTGATATCAGTTCGCTAGGTTTGGATATTGTTATGTTTCGTATGGATATTCATATGTTTCATTCAATTAGTAGAAAATAGGAACTGGAAACATTACCACAACAACAAAACTAATCATAATTCATTCAATACTAATTAACTTGGACTGTTCATTAGTTCATAATGAAGTAACATTATTGTTACCCTTCTTTTTATATCTGTTTGAACTTACCTATCATAGGTAATTTTACCCAAATCTAAGTAAACTCATTAATTATGAGCAAGATATGCATAAAATATATATGGGTTTTTCGTTAAGCTGCAAAGAAAGAACATAATATACTTTAATTGCATTCTTATCAATTCTTTACAATATATATCATCATTATTAACTATTTCAATATACTTATCAATTCTTCACAATTATGTCATTAAATTTTTTGGATCAATTGTTGTCAATTTACATTTTCGTCATTAATAGATATGAAGAAAATTTAAAGTTATACCACATCATTATTAATGATTTCAATATAATTATCATTGATTTACAACATCTTTATTAATAATTCACATTTTCACGTCTTGTTCATAACTAGCCAATCATTACTTCTTAGAATGACTTCTAATGGGATTAATAACATTTTGTGATCAAAATTGAAATTTTTTTACATTATCGTTCTTAGTCATCATAAAGGACAATGCTTATTTTCCACGTTTGTATTAACGTTTTTGTCACAATGTTATCAGAATTGAACTGAAGTATGAACCGTTATCCCTAGTGGTTCGCACTTAAGTGGTTTAACCGGTAGTACCCGTTAAAACCCATTAATGAATCGGTACCTCATAAATAAAAATATTAGAAATACTAAACATATAATAACACACCAAACAATATATAAAAGATAGAGTACATTATTTTCAAACAAAATTTTACACAAGTAGAAGAAATGCACATAAGGTGATAATTTAACAATTTAATGATTAAAATAATATTTACTTTGCAGGTACCACTTAATAATTTTACACAATATATATAACTACTAAAAAGTAAATACATTTACCCCATCCTAAGCGGTCAGCGCCGCTCCCCCCCCCCCCCCCCCCCCCCCCCCCCCCCCCCCTCTGTGTTTCAAATGAAAGTATGAAACTCAACCGTCATAGGCTATCCTCTTCCCTCCGCTAACAAAACCCAACATTTCCGCCACTTTAATCCCAGCCAACCCTTCAAAAGAAACCCACCATTTCCGCCACTCTAATCTCGGCCAACCATCTGTATGTAAGAGGGGCCCAGATGCATTTCAAGAAGCTCAGATTTGGCTTATTCCTGACTTCTTCCTTTTCCTCTTCAAAGTGTTCTAGCATTTCAATGATGAGTGGTGCCTTCACTTTGGTCTCTGTGACCATGATTTGGACTTTCAGGTCCCCCCTCTTGATCTTCTCTTTCGCCTTCTACTTTTAGTATATCTAGGATCTGGTTAAGGTTACTCTATAGGGTTGTTATTTGTATCCTTTGGTCCTTCGCTTGGTCTTCCAGTTCTAGCTCCTCCTCCACATGTGGTGCCATGTTGTCAAGTCTTTCTTTTATAGTTTGATCACCTACCATTCCTTTCAGGGGAGTACTCTCAAAAGGGGGTCTCCCATGGGATCAATCTACATAAAGGTGACCCCATGGTACGTGCCAAATTGTTTAGGCCTAAACTGGGATATAGGCTTTCAACTACAAGCGAGACCACCACTATGAATATCTTCAGTCTCTAGGAGGACTCCAAAGAAACATGCACAAAAGATCTTTCAGGGGGAGGAAGGGGGTGGAAGAGGCACCAGGGACATTCTTCAATGATCTAGTGAGAGAATGGTATGTAAAGTTTAGTGAGATAAATCTTTGTGGTTGAAAGTTACCATTAATGATGTCTGGTGAGTTTTATTTATACTCCTTGTTCCAATCTTGTTAGCATTTAATGTTGTGTCAGCGTCCTTGATGTTCTCAAATCATGAGCTAGCGCGTCTGGCCGAGCATTAAATGCCATCCTCGAGATCTCCATCCTATGTGGTGCTCTTGTGGACTTCCTAATACAGCTGACATAGAGCATGTGTTAGACGCGAAACGCTTTAGGGTGTCCCTTAGCCATTCATGCGCCCGTGGTGTTGCCCTCTATAGGCTTTATTAGCTCGAGGCCCATGGCCTTACAATAAGATTTCATAATATCATCTCACTATTATCATACCATTAAGTAGGGGTGGGCAACGGGAAACAGGTATTTGGGTATACCCATACCCGTCCCGTTTTTTTAGGGTTACGGGTACCCAAATACCCAAATTATATTTTCTCGTGAGAATAGGTCGGCATCCTTCATCCATGGTCGGCCAGTATTGTTTGGTTTCTCGTCACAGTTTTAAATCTACAAAACTAGGGTTTTTGTATTGTTCGCCATAATCAGCCAACGTTGTTTGTTCGTGGTCGACTGACTTCGTTTCCTTTCGGCATCATTAAGCTCGTCGTTTGGTTGGCTGGGTGTCAATGTATGCTTCTAATAAACTCCCGACGGCCGTGCCAGCTATCGTTCCCGACCCCAAGCATTGCGCCGGGCTCCCAGGCACCCCAACCCACTCCCCGGCTCTCAGTACCCGCCATCACACTATTTCCCCCGGGCTCCGCCTTCCTCCCGATGCCCGGCCCCATTATTATCCCTGGCACCCGAGCTCCACCTCCTTCTTGGCTCCCAGGCTACACCTCCCGTCCGACTACGTGGGCTCAGGTCCACTATCGCCCCTGGCTCCCGGTACCTGTTGGCGCATAAATGCCCCTGACATTCGGGCTCCGCCTCCCGCCTGTCTCCTGGCGCCCGAGCCCATTATTGCCCTCGACTCTCGACCCATGATCCACAAGTACTCTCACCTCCTAGAACTTGGATTTCACTCCCACATGCATATGTGGCATGAACATTGTTCTCATAAGGCACATTCATGTTTGACATGTGTACAACCACGTGATGAGCACATGCGAACCTCGGCGATACATGATTAGTGACGTGTCCATTCTCAACTTCGACGCTGACACCTCCCCTCTCTTTGTCCCCCCAGGTAAACACTATATAACAAGTTGATACTCTCCAGTGAAAGGCAAGAGACCGCGACAAGACCCTAAGCGCGCCCACTGCCATTGGTAACTCTCATCTCCCAGGCTCACCTTCTACAAACACCTTGTGAACTATGCTATCTCTTGCATGAGAGACTAACTTGAGCATAGGAGGGTGCCCCCGCCGAGATTGGCTGGGGGACCCTTTTTTACAGGAAACGATCGTAGGCAACATCACGAAGAAAGGTTACGATGAAGGGGCACATCAAGTCGCTTCGGTGCCCAAGATAGAAGAAGTCGACAACAACCCCGACATTAACAATGATTTTCTTTATTATTCGTATGTGTGTTGAATGGTGTTAGTTTTAGTTTAATATTTAATTAATGTTATAAAGAAAAAAAAAGGAATTCAAATAGGGAGACTTGGTGTGTAACTCTATAAATATATGTTTATTCTCGTTGAATCAGCTTCTCTTATTAATAACCAAACATAAACGACACGTGCAAGGGTCAACAAAACCCCCCACACTGATACAATGAAACATGTTGTCCCCATGAAGAACAACCTATAGAATAGAAAACAAACTCACAGCACCTGCAACTACTATACTATCCAACTTTCCCTGTCAACAAGCAAACAAGTAAATAAGACTAGCATAATCTTGGACAAGTACAAGATGATAACTAAAAGCAAAGTCTAAATCTCTTTTCCAGAGTGTCGCCACTGCAGCAGCACTTCTTGGACTCTCTCCATGACTTTGTCGACAACGCTCCTGCCAGATAAGCGAGATCAACGAACACCATATAAGTCCAATACATCGTCGCAGCACCGAGTTTTTTTGTAGCCATCTCCCCCTCTGCCTCAAAACGGCGATCCCAAGAGTCTCTGCTTAACATTCCTCCCCACATTCCACAAACTTCTTTAGAAAAAACACACTCAAGGAATAAATGATTTCGAGAATCAATTCCCCCATCACAGAGCAGACATGAAGCATCAGTAACCTTTACCGATTATTCAACTTCTCTTTAGTAACACTAGCATCCATGATCATAAAGCCAAGCAATTGGGCTCAATCGTGGAACGCTAAAATTCCCCCAAATCAGTTTGTACCAACGGAATTTCCTGCAAGGTGTTCGAATGGAATCCCAAACAGTACCGACTGAGTATAATCCCATCTTCTTTCCTTTCCGAACTCCCTTTGATCCCTGCAACGCCATAAAAGGCTGAAATACAGGTCTCAGTTTCAATGTACGCCTCCATGTCAATGAACTCAAAGAAGGCAGGTTCATACTCCAAACATCAACACCCCTGCAACAATAAGCCAGCATCCAGGCTACCCAAAGGGCTCCATACTTGAGCATAAGAATCCAAAGCATCCTGGCAGTGCAAGCCCTATTCCACGCAATCAAGTCTCGCAACCCTAGTCCACCTTCTTGATTTGACTTAGCAAGGAGATCCCATGCAACTTTTGCGCGTCAAGACTCTTCTCCATGCCAGAGGAAATCCGAGCATACCTTCTGGAGCTGTACAATGAATTTCTTGGGGAAAACAAACAAGTGAACAACTGAAACCAGTACTGAATAACACCCAACAATATAGAAGAAACTAATTGCAAACGTCCAGCATATGTCAACTTCTTTGCTCTCTATGACCTAATTCGCTTAGTCAACTTCTCTATCAAAACCTCACAATCTGCAGAGCTAAGCTTCCCATATAATAGAGGGAGTCCCAAGAACGAATAGGTAATGACCCCTCCTTAAACCCATCAAGGCAAGTGCATTCAATTTAGAACTGACTCTCCTCCAAAATACACTCCACACTTTTCAGGGTTACATTTAAGGACAGAAAAGAATAGAAATTGTGTAGCAATGAGTTTACCTTGAGTAGGGATTGAGCAGAACCTGTGGTGAAGATGAGTAAATCATCTGCGAAGCACAGATGATTCAGCTCCACCCTGCTACATCGTTGATGATAAGGGAGACCTCCTGATTTTGCAACCCTATTGAGAAGACCAGACAAACCCTCCATTGCTATGCAGAAGAGATACAAGGATATGGGATCTCCTTGAGGAACACCTTTCTTGGCCTTAAAGAAACCACATAAACCACCGTTTAGATTAATGCTAAAATGAGCCGTCGACAAACAAATTTTAATCCAGTTCACAAACTGCTCCGGGAACCCCATGAACTCCATAACTTTAAGAAGATACCCCCAGTGCACTAAGTCGAACGCCATCATTAGATCCACTTTAACAACACATCTAGTCGAAGAGTTTTTCCTCTGGTACCCATGAACAAGTTCATGTGCAAGCAAAATGTTGTCCATAATCCGGCGCCCTGTGATAAATGTTGTCTGATTGGTGCTAATGCCCTGAGGCATGATCAATTTTAATCTATTCGCCATCAATTTTGACACACATTTATACAAGATATTTACACACGAGATTGGTTTGTAATCTTTTAACCTCTCAGCATTAGGGACTTTCGGCACAAGAGAAACCGTTGTAGCATTAATACCACTTAACATCCTGCCAGAAGAGAAGAAATCAAGTACTCCTGCTGTAACATCACTGCCTATAATATGCCAAGTTCGTTTAAAGAACCTTGCAGAGAGGGGCCTTTTGGCTGTTAATATCAAACATTACCTTTCTCATATCATCCGAACTAACATCCAAGCATAACATAGCAGCCACCTCCTATGAGATCTGATTGTTGATCAAAGATCTAACAAAGGCATCATCAAATTAAACTTCCTCACTTGCCACCCCAAAGAGCCTTTGATAGTAGTTCACAGCTTCCTTAGATATCCTATCAATGTCCAACAATTCCTCCCCAACATCATTCAACAACCTTCGAATAGCCTTCTTGGAGTTGCGAATTTTCACCGATTGGTGAAAGAAACCATACCCTTTGTCACCCTTTGCAAGCCGATCCACTCGTGATTTCTGCCAGTAAAAGCTCTCTTCCAATTTTCTCAACTCATCATACTATTTCTACATATCAGTCATTGCAGCAAAAGTTGACTCCCTAGGATTAGAGAAAGCTTCAGCTTGGAGTGTCATTAACTATTGCTCCACCATCGTAACCTGGTCACAAATATTATCAAAATGTTCCCGATTCAGTTTCTTTAGAGCTTTCTTCACTTCTCGTAGCTTACAATGAATGACATACTATGGACACCCCGTAACTGATATGTTCTAGGCCTCCTCCACAACTTTCATAAAATTTGGATGTGATTCCCAAAATTCAAAGTATTTAAAAGCTTTTGGAATAGACTTTAGAGCAGGGATTGATTTAACCAAAATCCCATAGCGATCCGTGAAGGGTGCCAACACTGCCTCTATTCTACAGTTGGGAAAACTATCTATCCAATCCACATTAACTACTACCATATCCAGCCTGCGTGCAATAGGGTTATTTCTTTGGTTATTCACCCAAGTAAACCAAGGCCTTGTCGTCTGATAGTCCAACAACTCAAAATCATTCAACCAGTGTTCAAAATCTACCATAAATAGATGTTTTATAGGAACTCTCATCTCCGGGGCTCACCTTCTACAAACACCTAGTGAACTATTCTATCTCTCACATGAGAGACTAACTTGAGCATATAAGGGTGCCCCCGCCGAGATCGGCCCGCGGGCCTTCTTTTGTAGGAAGTGATCGGAGCAAAATCACGAAGAAAGGTTATGATGAAGGGGCACATCAAGCTGCTTCTGTGCCCAAGATAGAAGAAGTCGACTACAACCCCGACATCAACAATGAGGTTTAATATTTAATTAATGTCATAAAGAAAAAAGGAATTCAAAAAGGGATACTATGGTGTGTAACTCTATAATAGATGTTTGTTTATGATTACTATAACGTAAATTACAAGTTTGGTTATTAAGATTACTAAAAAAATTCACGTTTGGCACTAAAAATATTTTATTCCATTCGTGGTCACTAAAATGACTATATTTCAAGTTTGATCACGATTGTTATTATGCTTGAGATTTTCCCTATTTGTTTTGCACGATTGTTGGCTCCAATTTTTATTTTTATATATTTGGAGAATGGTTTGTCGAGCTGCTTGCAGAGAAGAAGCATTTGTGTTTGTATATTTTATTAGTAAATTTAAAGAGAATTAATTTAGTATTTAGTATATACCAATACCAAATATAATATTAGAGATTAAGATTGAGATTAATATGCTAACTTTATTTAAAATTGTGATTGAAATTAAATTTAGAATACTATTTGGTATTCAAAAAATTTATTATTTGATATTGAAATATAGATACTTACACCTTGGGCGGGAAGTTTGGTACCGGTATTTGGGATATACTGAATACCGTACCGAATTTGTCTATATTTGGTATTACCAAATACACGTATTATTTCTTGGAATTGGGATTGAATTTCAATTGTTATTCGATATTAGTGATTACAGGATTGAGCGCAGGATTTACCAAAATACCGATCAATACCGAAATATAAGCTAGTTTGTATTTTATCATCTCAGCTAGACTCTCTCATTTACTACTACATAACCCTCAACCACCAAAAGTGTCATTTAACTATACACAGATCATTCCATCACTATTAATAGTGGTCTCTCAACCTCCAATTCGTCAAATTAAAGATTATCAATGACAAGAACTTGAGATGTCTCGTCTCCTCCGCTCTCCTTAATAATATCCCAATTCAAAACTCTTTGCTTAGTCTTTTTCCCCTAAATTAAACAATTAAGTCTAATTTATATATTTAATTATTAATTGCAAAGGTAAGTAATTTCGTATTCGATAATACCGATTGGGATACCGAAGTACCGATTGGGATACCGAAATATTTAGGAATTGGGATTGGGATACCAAAATTATTTAGGGATTGGGCTTGGAATTGACTTTAGGGTGTAATTCGATGGTCAGGATTTCAATATTTGGTATTGGGTACCGATACCGTACCGATTTCCACCCCTACTTACACCCTCCTAAACTCCGAGCCTCGATAAAAAGAAAAGAAAAGGGCTAATACCACTACAACACCCGAACTATCCGAAAAATGTCACTTGTGTCCTATTGTATCAAATATTCCATCTGTGTCCTGAACTAATACTCTGTTAGTGTTGACCAGCGTTGACCGTTAAAATTTAACAGATTGTCTAGTCAGCGTTGATGTGGAAAATGACATGGAATTTTTAATTCCATTTTATTGAAGAAAATAATTAAAATAAAAAATTGAGAAAAATTTGAGAAGATAAGAATCAAAGTTTGTCTTTCCTCTCTATCCCTCTACGCCGCCCGACAACTCTTCAGAGCGACCTCGACGCCCGACGATTCTTTTAGAGAAACCTCACCGCCCGTCAATTGTCGTCGGAACTCTCTGCTCCATGGCAGTTTGCATCACCGTAGCCTCTGCTTTTCAGCTGGAAATCACTTCATTGTAAGATTTTGTGAAGGGATCGAGAGATTGAGCATCGTAGATCTAGATTCTCGACCAGACCCGGCAACCCAATCCGCCACCACCATACTCATCCCACTCCGTCGCCACTCGAATCGCACCCGCCAACCCACTCCGCCACCACTCCAATCCGACTCGCAACTGCAACCTCCATCAAAATCGACCCTCTAGAAACTCTCGGGCCTTCGAGCAGTCCACTTCTCCAAAAATCGTCGCTGAAATCTCCTTCGTGGCGGCGAGTTCCGTCCTACCGACCCAGGCTGTGAGCTCATGCTCACTACTTCGCCTATCAGTTCCGTTCTCTCCATACATGCAATATCAGTTGGCGCATAATCGGGAGACAACAGTGGGGGTAAAGTCGAGTAGTTGGAAACAGCTGGGAGATGGTAGTGGATGGGTTGAGAATCCCAATTTCTAGGGATTGGATTTGTGGGAATGGTGGATATTCAGAGGGGGAATCACAAGTCTCGGCTGGAGAATCTCATCGCAGGAGAGAAGAAGTCGGTGGATTTTTCAATTTTTTATTTTTAAAGTTTTATTTAATTTAAATTAAAAATTTGAGGTGTCAATGACTTGGCATTGCCACGTAAGCAAAAGTCAATGTTAAGTTGACCGCCGTTTGGTCAACTGTTATCTTTAACGGTCAACGAAATTGACAGGATACAAATGACACAAAATATAATAGTTCATGACATAATGGAATATTGGAAAAATAGGACACAAGTAGAATTTTCGGATAGCTTGGGTTGGGTGTTGTAGTTATATTAGCCCAAAAGAAAACTCCGGACCTCCGACGGGTTTCTTCTCATCGTAATCAAATCAACCCAATCACACACACCCCATAAAATAAAAAAACAATCACACACACAAAATAATTTCCTTTTTCCCAATTTCAATTTCTGCCATCTTTCCCTTCCGCTTCTGGCGGAGGGTTATAAATAGCTACGCCGCGAAGTCTACATCCCTCCTTTCCTCCCTCCCTCCAGAATCGCCATTGAAATCCAATCCAAATCCAAGGTCGAATTCATTCCCTTCTCCTCCATTTCTCTCCCATTTCTCCATCCTCCTTAGAGATCTGCATTCCGCTTCTCCAGGTACTTCCATCTTCTCTCCCCCCTCTGTTTCTGCTTATTTCCTGCTGCAATTTTGTTTACCCGCCAATCCGCCATGGATCTAGCTTCCTCTCACTTCTAATTTTATCGCAGTTCAATTTTAATCCGAGTTAATTGTTACTTTCAACCAGAGGAATCTTAAATCCGAACCGCCAATTTGGCGATTTCCGTTCGGCCGACATTGTGCTTTCTCTCAATTTTGCTTGTTTTGCTGTTGCGTTCTGTCTAGGCGAGATTACCGCGGTTTGAGATCTCGAAACCGGAGCCTGCTGCTGCGATGACAATGGCCAACGGCGGCGAGGTTCACCCTTCCGCTGCCAACGGCGGAGAGAAGGGCGGAACCAAGCCGTTCAAGATCTTCGTCGGTTACGATCCGCGCGAAGATCTGGCGTACAAGGTCTGCCGACACTCCATCCTCAAGAGATCTTCCATCCCGGTCGAGATTCATCCGATCATCCAGTCCGACCTCCGGAAGAGCGGCCTGTATTGGCGGGAGCGAGGCAAGCTGGAGAGCACCGAGTTCTCCTTCTCCCGTTTCCTCACCCCGCACCTGGCCGATTACGACGGGTGGGCAATGTTCGTCGACTGCGATTTCCTCTATCTGGCCGACATCAAGGAGCTCCACGATCTGGTCGACGATAAGTACGCCATCATGTGCGTCCACCATGACTACACCCCGAAGGAAACCACCAAGATGGATGGCGCGGTTCAGACCGTTTACCCGAGGAAGAACTGGTCTTCAATGGTGCTCTACAACTGCGGGCACCCGAAGAACAAGGTGCTGACCCCAGAAGTTGTGAATACCCAGACGGGTGCTTATCTGCACAGGTTCCAGTGGCTTGATGATCAAGAAATTGGGGAAGTGCCCTTTGTGTGGAACTTCCTGGAGGGACATAACAAGGCTGTGGAAGGTGAACCTTCCACCTTCCCCAAGGCCATACATTATACCAGGGGAGGGCCGTGGTTCGACGCGTGGAAGAATTGCGAGTTTGCAGACCTGTGGTTGGATGAGATGGAGGACTACATGAAGGATACCAAGAAATCAAGCGGGAACTGAGTAGATTGATTCGTCGGATTTTGGGTGAGAATTTCTCGTTCGCCCGCCATGCTTTAGGTAACATTATGCTTAGTATACATAATAACAATGTTCGTGCTTCATTCTTTTATGTTTGAATTATGTTTAGTAGTTGTAGATCTACGAAAGATTTGTGTTTGTTGTTTATTCATCTGGAATTTCATAGGGCAGAGAGAAATCCTGCTGCTATGAAATGGGCTAGGGAAGCAGCTATTCAATAGGCTGTTTTATTTTTCATCTGTTCATTAATTACCTTGTGAATGTTACTATTTGTCTATTTTTCTCTCCCAGTGTTTGTGATATCGTACCGGAGAATTGTAGCAGTGACCAAATCGATATAGTTTTATCTATGATATTATTATATATTGGTCCAGTTGTTTTCCCTCTGTTATATACTCTTATTTGATTTCTGTGAGGGTTTCACTATGCTATTTGTTGTTTGATAATTGCTTAAAAGGGTTCTGTTCTATGGAACATGGAGGATGCCTTTATTCTGATTATGGTTGCTGCCTCTGTTTTGGTATGGGCATCTGTCTGCCTGTCCTGCTAAGCAATAGTCATAAATAAATATAAAAAGAGAGAAATTTGTTCATGTCGGTAACACCACGAAACAGAAGTTTTATGCTTTGTTCCTTCAAGAATCTAAACCAGCTAGGAAAGGGCCATGTGAGAGCTTCCCCTTCTAATTGAGAAGGCATCTTTTGTTATAACTCGTTCGAAAATCGACTCGTTCATTAACGAGTCAGGTCCAAATTAAGACATAACTCGATTTGATTCGGCTAATTTGCAGCTTGGAACATATGCTATTATACAGCTTGGCCTGTGCTACTGCTGCTTTGAACGCATTAATGCTACTAATCAATTTGCTAGTGAGACGGATATATGAGGAACATCTGATAAATGGATGACCGAAAACTATGTTGGTTAACTGTTATCCACTGTTTGGAAGGTTGAAAGTTATGGCGACTCTGCAGGCAGCGAGTCTCTGCATTCGGTTTTAGTTCACTATTTGCAGCTATTGGGCTGTGCAAGTGACAGCTGAGTCATGTCGTCATAGCTTTCATTTTATCATATTTCTGGCTTCTTCGCTGGAAAGATTCTCAACCAAGTAGGCAAGTATTGGATTGGATGCTTTGCTTTAGGCGGGGACTAGGATTCGCTCGCTGCGTACAGTTGCAACCATTATCTACATCTACATAGAATGAGGGGAAAAAATCCCATTACAAATTTCAAATTTGTAATTTTAGGAAGGTTATTTTTGTAATTACACCCAATTTATCTTTATATATTTAAAATATTATTATTAGAATTTGAAACTAAGTCAAAAAAAAAATCCTCATTACAAATTAGAATTGGAAACCACGTGAAGGTGTTGAAAAATCAACACAGATGAATTAGTGATCACAGGGGGCAAGACGGCAAGATTTTTCCAATAATAGCACCTTAAAAAAAAATTACAAAAATAGCACCCATATAAAAAAAATTACAAAACTAGCACCTTATTTTTTGGAACACACTCCTAAGATGCGTTTTAAATGTAAAACGCACCAAACAGATGCGATCTACATGTAAAACGCATCAGAGGGGTGCAATCCATAATATAAAACGCACCAAACAGATGCGATTTGGGGAGGACGCGGAACGATCTTCAAGATCGTCGGATTGAGGGACGATCCAACGGCTCAGCGCATGCCAGCGGAGCGATCCGCGCCGAGGATCCCAGATCGCACGCCAGCGGAGCAATCCGCGCCGAGGAAAGTCAAATCGCATCGGGAGGGTGCAATCCGCGCCTAGGGAAGCGCAAACCGCATTGGAAGAATGCGATCCGCGCGAGGGCAAAATTACCGCCTCGTCCCTGGAGCCTGCGATCTGATGGGTATAAATACCCCCCCCCCCCTTCCCCTCTCATTTCTTCACACCATAACCCATTCTTCCTTCTCTCTCTAGGTTTTATCTCTCTAAACCCTCCCCCTCCCAAAAGCCTAGGAAATAGTGGTCTGTTGGTTGCGGCAAAGTCTGATCTGCCATCAGAAAACATTTCTTAGGTTTTTTTCTCAAAACCCGCCGAGCCGAAGCTCTGTCCGAATTGCGCCGAAAAAATGGCCGATTGGTGGCAAGGAGAAGGAGTTTTTGTTGATGATTTTCAAGCGGTACGTACTCATTATTCGGGTTTAATTTTTGTTGTTGTTATCTTGCTTTTTAATTAATCTATATACTAACCTCGTTGTTATTTTCTCGTAGGCTGCGGAGGACGTGGATATTTACAACCAACGGTATTATCTCGAGCAAGGACCGTTGGATCCAACCGACTTGTACGACCAACCCAACCTTCGGTCAAGGGATGTTTGGAACGCTCACCCGGTACATACAATTCTTTACTATTTTTCCTTCTTTTATTTTGTTAATGTATTTAGTGGAATATAAAATAAATTTATGTTGAATTTTTAATCGTGTTGGTTGTTTTCAATAATTTAATCGAATACATAGCGCCACTTACTTCGACTCTTTATAAAGAGATGCACGTCTAAGGAAATGGGGTTTTAAGCGATTATCATATCCTCCCATTCCCTGGGAAAATCGCGTATTAAGAGATCCTCGGATCCCCCCTTTTTCTGTCAACAAGACTGCGTTTCTAAGAAGATGTATACCTCTTCTAAGAGTCTAACGAGTGTTGCTTTGTATTCGATTAAATTATTTAAAACAACCAAAACGATTAAATAATTTACCAAACAGTCCTTACGATATATTTTTATGTGTACAAATGGAATTTTATTAATTTCAAACAATTGAATATGTATGTTTCTCTTTAAAATATTGATTCATTAACAATGTCATTTAATTTAGTTAATTTAGTATGTTTATTTTACGATAATATGTATGTATCTATTTAAATTATTATTCATTTAGAATGTTATTATGTTAATTAATTTAGGATATTCGTTTTATGATAATATGTATGTATCTCTTTAAATTATTATTAATTTAGAATGCTATTATGTTAATTATATGAAATGTCTTTTTATGATAATAAAATTCTGCTTGAAGTTAAATCATTTAATTTAATTAATTTAGTTATAAGGAATAAACCCTTACTAATGGCGAGTTCTATGGTACCCTGGGTAAAATCCGGGGTACCGCATACCTTGAGTATGAAAACACTATCTAGACCTTGAATTGACCGATCTTCGGACATGATACTATACTCTAGCCCTTAAATATCAAAATCTAGGTCTTAATTCTCCCAATCTTATACTCCAAGATCAATTTAATTAGAAACAATAATCGACGATTATGATTCGTCCAAATATAGGCACAAAAAGGAATGCATTATCTTAGGGTTTATAGATTATGATTTAGATAATTAGGACCTAGGGTTCACTCATTAAGGGTTAGGGCATAGTATCAGACCCAAAAATCCTGCTAATTCGAGGTCTAGATACCGTTTCCATACTCAAGGTATGCGGTACCTCGGATTTCACTGGGGGTTCAGTAGAAGGAATAAACCCTTACTAATATATAATAATTGACGTGTAAATTTTCCGTAGGAGGCACAAACAATAATCCGCTACAGGGGTACGACCAATGTGCTCCCATTCCACCCAGCTATCTTGCCCTTTCTCAAAAGGGCACGATTGGACTCGATTAGGCATTTTAACGGCATCAAAGTTGATCGCCAACTCATCACCGCCCTAGTTGAGAGATGGAGAAGGGAGACCCATTGCTTCAACTTTAGAGAAGGAGAGGCCACCATCACACTAAAGGATGTCGCCATCCTAACCCATCTCCCCATCGACGGCAAACCGGTGTGCGTGAGTGATCATCCCCCCGACGATGTCGACGGTATGCCCGGTTGGGTTCATTTCATCTATAGTGTTTTGGGAGTAAAAGTACCAGTGAAGGGGTGCGTTGATGCGACCGATCGCATGCCACCAATGAGGAAGCACCAAGTGTCAATTACTTGGTTGACGAAGTACTTTAGAGAGCATTACGAGAGTCATCCCCTAACCGAGGAAAGTTCGGAGGATGAGAAGGAGAGATATGCTCGGGTCTATCTCATTGGCATGATCGGAGGAGTGTTCTTCTCCAAAAAAGCAAGCAATCTCCTTAGTTGTGGATGGCTTAGGATCATCCTCGGTAGTTGGGAGGAGATGGGGGCGTATAGTTGGGCATCCGCTTGCCTAGCTAATATCTACCACAACTTGTGCAATGCCTCTCTAAAAGCTGTGAGGGAGGTCGGCGGCGCAATGTTCATCGTCCAATTTTGGGCTTGGGAGCACCGAGATTGGCCTTCCATGGTCGAGATGGGCGGCAAGGTACTCGAGATTGGCCCTTGAAGCTGGAGAAATTCATCACCATGTGGGCGAACCGACAAGGGCAAGATATTGTCACTCCATCAGCAGTGGGTCGAATGGGGTATCATGACCCATACTTGGATCGATATCGGCAAACATCGGTCCGTTACATGACTCCGGAGGGTGCTGCCGATGGTGCATTAGTTAGTATATTCCACTCTACCCAATTAAATGTATTGTTTTGGTTCCTAAATTGTTTCCTAACTTATTGTTTTGTGATTTAGGCTGACGGGATTGAGCGGATTAAGGACATTACCACAGGGAGAATGGAGCTGGGAAATGAAGATGTGAGCTTCATCAGGAGGATGGCAAATAGTCTCCTTGGCTGTATCAGAGCTCAGGGGAGGGATCATCGTAGATATCCGCCCCATGCCGGCACCGCCGCCACCTCCGGTACAAGTTGATGTCCCCGATCCCCCACCACCATACGAGAGGAAGCTAAGCAAGAGGGTCCGGGAAAGGCCCATCGAGCCCGAAGTCATGCCATATCCCGGGTGGAAAGTGTCGCCTCCATTGGTTGCTCCCCAAGGTGTCGGCCCAAGATCCCCCCAAGGTGGCGGACCGAGTTCTCCACAAGTTGCCGGCCCGAGTTCCACCCAAACTCCCCACCAAGGCTCGTACTACGATTCCCGCTCGACCTACCATCAAACCCCTCCGAGTCCCACTCTGATCTCATACAACGATCCCCGCCATGGAGCATACTACGATCACCGCCCGGTCTACCCCCCATCTCCCCGCCAAGGAGGTTACTACGATTACCGCCCGGTCTACCCCCATCCTCCCGGCCAATCGATCATCGGGTACTTGGCATGATGGTTCCTCGGCGACGGCACACCACGATTTTACGCCATGGGCTCGCCCTCATCAGCAGTGGCCTCCTACTACTCACCGTACTTCCGTGGATGTCCCCCGCTCGACCCCGGAAGTGCCGATTCCCCGCCGACACAGCACCGACAACCGCCAAACTACCTCGGCCCGAGTTCGAAACTTGCCACCGCCGCCACCGATTGTTACTCCCGTCGGTCGTCGTACAAGGAGCAAGAAAACCGTGGGATCGACTGAAGCTCGTGGACTTCCTTGAGCGGATTTATGAGAGTTGAAATTAATTTCTATGTAATTTGAACTATTCCTATTATCATAGTTTATCGAATTGATTGTTGTTTCAATTTGGTTTTATTTCCATCCCCTTGGAACTATGCCTTTTATCTTTATGTAATCCCAATTAGTTCAATCAACAATACAGTGGAGATCAGAGATTTGATTGAAAATTCTGGGTTCTAACCCAACTTCGAGCCAATGAACGATAAAATCAACAATACACAATGATATGATCTGAATTCCACCCTTGAATCATCTCAAACAAATCGTTCAAAGATCGGGTCAAGTTAATACGAACAAGGCTGGAATTTTTCTAAGTGTTGAGACAGTTTTGGGAAGGGTACTTTGGAAGGCCGTATCTCTCAAACCCTTCACTGGAAATGCAAGGTTAGGGTCTCATTGTGAACCTTGGATGTTTGTTTATAGTTTTATGCATTTGGTTTGTGGAAATAAGGTCAGGAGGATTGTTTTCCAAAGCCATCAAAACCCTATCATGCACTATGGAATCTGCTTGTTTTTGGCTAAGGCAGGAAAACAGTTTTCTTTTTTCCTTGGAACAGTTTCGTGTTGAAGTTGCTGATTTAGTTCGTTAAATTCCATCGAGTTTCATCCCCAAATTCATCCAATTTTGATTCATCGCTGCGTGATTCTGAGATAAGCCAATCGAGGGCTTATCACACAATACACATTTCGTTCAATCAACTTTACACATTTAATTGCAAAGTAAGAGTCTCAACATGCTTGAAAAAAAATGATAAAAGCAAACTATGTCGCATTAGCTGATTCCAGCACATCAGGACCCGGATTTTGCGGACCAATCGGGCCTGGACATCTTCGTTTATCATGTCCTGGAACTTTGCATATTGAACATCGTCTTGGGCCTCGTGGTGGTCTTCCACTTTGATCCATTTCGTTCTGAATTCTCTTTTTCCTCGGGCGACCCGGTTCACGCCTCTGTCCGAACGGCGGGATGATCAATTTTCCTTCGTACATCGGCCAATAAACTTCATCAGGCAATGCACGGAAACTCCGTCCATAGGTGTTTTTGAGTGAGTCGATATTGAAGAACGGACTAACGAAGTGACGTGGGTCTTTGCTCCTGTTTTTAATTACGGCCATTGCATGAGAACAAGGCCACCCTCTCCCTTGATACTTCTGGCATGAGCACTCACCAACTTTTGTCATGAAATTGACCAAAACTTCATGGCGGTGGCCCCCCCGTCTACCGTCCTCCCGATGCCCGGTCGTCACGCTATACTCGCCATTTGCCCGATTCATAACGGTTACACTATGTCGACTGCTCTTGCGATTGTCATTCTCCATTACTTCCATGACTTTATAGGAATGGACCTTACCCTGTGCCTCGTTCGTCCTTGCCCAGTGGAGTCGGTTGACGAACCATGCATTCGTTTTCCAAAAAGTCATCTCCACAATGGCAGAGATTGGCAGTGCACGAACGGCCTTGTAGACAGAGTTGATACTCTCACCTGAGTTCGTTGTGGCAATACCCCATCTTGTCCCTCCATCTTTATGAAATGTCCACATGGACAAGTCATGTCCATCCAGCCACTGTGCCCCTTCAGGGCATAACTCGCGCAACTTTTGCATCTTCTCCAGGAATTTTTTCTCTTGGTAGGCAACCGCTGAGGAAGACACAAAAAAGTAGTATGTTAGTCAATTTTCGGCATTTTTACAAATTCGAACAGCCCTGAGTTACTCTCGTTAGACTCTTAGGAGAGGTATACATCTCCTTAGAAACACAGCCTGTTTGACAGAAAAAGGGGGGATCCGAAGATCGCTTAAAATCCGATTTTCCCAGGAAATGGGAGGATCATGACAATCGCTTAAAACCCCATTTCCTTAGGCATGCATCACTTTAGAAAGAGTCTAACCAGTGCACCACTCGCCAAATGTACTAAGATATTGTAACTGGAACTAAATTATACGGCTAATTACAAACTTACCAATCCACCACAAGTTATCAGCAAGCTTCTTACGCTTGAAATGATGGTTCCAGTTGCTCTTGAAGTGTCGTATGCACCACCTTTGGGACCACTTCCATGCTGGATCTAAACCTAAGATGGCAGCTCTAATGCCGGCGTGCCGATCAGAGATTATTGTCAGGTTCGTTCTCCTAGTACAATGGAGCTGAATTTGCCGGAAAAACCATCCATAGCTATCAGCATTCTCTCCCTCAACGATGGCGAAGGCTAAAGGAAAGACTTGTCTGTTTGCATCCGCCCCACTGGCAATCAGGAGAGTGCCCTTGTACTTGCCAGTAAGGAATGTTCCATCCACTTGGATGACAGGGACACAGAATCCAAAACCATCAATACATGGCTTGAATGCCCAAAAAAGTCGTCTGAAATGGCGCTTGTTACCTTGCTCTGGGGGTTGTATCTCTTCATCTTGGTATCGAGGGGAGAAAACCGTGCCAGGGTTAGACGCCTCCAATGCCAAAATTAACCTGGGAAGGAATGCATATGATTCTTCCCAATCACAAAAGACGGCGGCCAGAGCTTTCTGCTTTCCATGCCACGCCTTCTTATAGTTAATAATATAACCATAACGACTTGCAATGTCAGCGATTATGACTTTCACCTTTAGGTCCGGCTCTTGCTCAATTAGATGCTTGATAGCCGCAGCAACCACCCTGGATTTCAACTGTCGATGGCCTTGGGAAGTTATGGATGACACACATGTATGTGTGTTCACCGCACAAGTTATGACCCAGAGGCCGTGTCTCTTACTGTTGATGGCCCGAATCCTAACATTGCACCCCTCGTGATGATTACGACATCTGACTATGAGCCTTTTAGTGTTGGAATGAGTTGTGTGCCATTCAAAATGCCGGGTCATTGCTTCTGTCTCAATGGCGTGACGCACCTCCTTCTTCGAGCCAAATTGTTGGCCCTTCATAAACTCAGTGAGTGGACCCCATATTGGGACCTCTGGCGGCTCCATGTCGCTGTCGACCATCCAATTGTCGTCTGGAATGTGATTGTAGTAGGGGACTGGTACACGGTCACGAGGACCCTCATCATCATTAGCTGAGTCTGACTCTGGTCCGGAATCATCGGCACCTTCAAGAGGGTCGGAGCTGTCTGCACTGACGTTGTTCTCTCCTTCTTCATCGGAGGGATCACTGACTGGTGGTGGCATGGCATCCTCCATCTGATCCAGCTCATGAAACGCACCTTCATCAGCTCCATAATGGTAGTTGTGAAAACTACCGCTGCCTGAGAGGAAGTTGTACTGAGGTTGGTTGGGCCGGTCCGGTTGAACTTCTTCTTCATATGATTGATGATGACCTTCACCTTGCTCTTGGTACTGAAAATATGAATGAGGATCATGGTAACTTTGGTAGGGATGATCGCCATATAATTCACCTCCACCATGGATACCATATGTTTGACCGTGTCCAGAATGACCTCCAACGCCTACGACCGGCTCGGTGTAAACGAACATCTCGGCTTTGGAAAGATTGTTGGACCTCATGAATTCGAGCATGGCGTCTACCTCATCCTGAGTGGTTATGAGATATTCCTCATCCTGAAAGATTGTTTGGATATCGGTACACCATACGATCAACTCTTCTCGTGCCATCCATGCAAGTAACGTTAGTGCACATTTGATGGAGGTCTTCAAGCAGCGGTCTGGTAGCGACCTTTATCTTTTGAAAATTGCCACCTACGTAGGTGGCACCCTTTCCGGTCTCTTCCGTGTAACCATTCCACCGTAAGCCAAGCGTGAACTTTTGGAATGCCATCTGCGATAAAACCGTAGTTAAGTTAATATCATAAAAATAAAAAATAAAAAATAACAATAAAAAGTAATACTAAATCAACTTACGAGTTAACGTTAATCGCAAAACTACTAAAGAAATATGTAATACTAAATCAACTTACGAGTTAACGTTAATCGCAAAACTACTAAAGAAATATAGAGCTACATCAACTTACGAGTAAACGTTAATCTCAAAACTACTAAAGAAATATAGAGCTACATCAACTTACGAGTAAACGTTAATCGCAAAACTACTAAAGAAATATAGAGCTACAACAGAAAATTGAAAAGGGAAGGGAGAAGGAGAGGTGTGAAGAGAAGTGGTTCTCTGGGAGTCCTTTTATAGGGAAAATCACTGATGAAAACCGCACCTTAGAGGTGCGATTTTTGTCTGCCATGCAGGCCCATGCAGACCCACATCTGTTACGTCTGCATGGCATGTCGGAAATTGATTGACCAAACCGCACCTTCAAGGTGCGGTTTGTACGTTAAAATCGCATCCTCATGGTGCGATTTAGTTTGGCAGAAACAAATCGCATCTCGGCCATGCGATTTTAATAGGTCAGACCTAAAATCGCACCTCGGCCATGCGATTTCAGTAGGTCAGAGATAAATCGCTTGGCTAAAGTGCGATTTGAGTCCAGATAATGGGAACGCACCTTACCAGTGCGATCTATATGTAAAACGCATTCTTAGGGTGCGATTTATATGTAAAACGCATCTACAAGGTGCGTTCTATTAAAAAGGGTGCTATTAGTGTAAATTTTTACGGATGGGTGCTATTTTTGTAAATTTTTTTTTAAAGGTGCTATTTCTGGAAAAATCCTGAAGGCGGCTGGTGGTGGTTTGATCAACCTATAAAAATATAACTTATGTCTTGACCTATTCAAGATTCATGTATTAGTGAGAATTTGTTGTTATTTTTTTTACTTATATTAAGCTAGAATCCTTGTATTTACTTTATATGGACCCACCATACAATACATCAAAAATGAATGATGGGAAATCTCTACCTTTTGGAGAGATTGTAAACAAAAGATTTGTTATGCAATTTTCATTCTAATTTTATCCTTTACACTTTTGCTTTAACCCAAAACTATCCTCATAAAAAAGATCCTCTCTCCCACTCTCCTGTCACTCGTAAACTCCCTCGAAGCAAAAAAGAAAACCACCACTCCACCACTCCTCTCCTCGTTCGACCATTGCGATGACACCACTGGGAAAAAAACCACCACCACTCCTTGTCGATTCTTCAAATTAATTGCCACCATCGGAAAATCATCATCGGAAAATCACATCTCGCCATTAGAATCTCGCTAGTAATCGACGGATAAGGATTTCCGCATATATTTCTGTCGCGAATCGAAGAAGGTCGTCGTCGTTGGGTTAATCGAACAGGTTTTTCCATTAAGACCCATCTACTTTTTATGACGTTGTTCCCTCGTTATTCCTTTGTTTGAGAATCATGTTGTATAGTTGTAGGTCATGGCAATTGTTGGCAAGGTGCCCCAAGCAAAGGAAGAAAGCAATAATAGTCGTTGTTTCTATGTACTTGGAGATGGTGTTCAATTTCATCAAGCTGCTTATACAATATTGTGAGGCATTAGAATCTGAATGTGAGCAAAGGTTAGAACATATTTCTGCTTGGGAAACGCCTATTGCTAGATAATTAGCTAGGGATTCTTTTACGCGGTGTATCATTTCCCAAGGTGACATATCGTGCACCATGCTTGTTAGAATGAACTGTAGGACCTTTCAGAAACTTTGTAAGCTTCTTAGAGATGTGGGAGACCTTAGGTGCAGCTGGAATATTGAGATAGATGAAATGGTTGCCATCTTCCTTTACACCATAGCGCATAACGAGAAGAATCGTCAACGACAAGTTACCTTCCGTCGTTCAGGACATACGATTTGTAGAGTAATCAAAACTGTGCTTAGGGCGGTTTTGAAACTTCACTCTCTTTTACTGTAAGCCTGTTTTTGAGAATTTCGACGATCCAAAATGGAAGCACTTCAAGGTATATGCTTCCTTCTGCATTCTCTTGTTAAATGTATGCCTATGTTGGTTCTTAAATTTGGTTATGTTACACAGTTGTTGACCTTATTGTTTTAGGATTGTATTGGCGCACTTTATGGAACAATAATCAATGTACGAGCAACCAAAGAGAATCAAGAAAGATACCGTACTAGTAAGGGAACGATTGGAATGAACGTGTTGGGAGTGGTTGATCAAATATATGGAGTTCATTTATTGCATGGTTGGTTAGGAGGAGTCAGCCCGTGATGTGAGAGTTTTAAGAGAAGCCCTTATTAGGCCAAATGGTTTAAAGATTGCTAAAGGTAAGTACTTTCTTTACTATGCTGGTTTGCTCATTATAATGTTGTTAGATGCCCTAAAAATGTCTAAGTGTGATGTCTAATGATGGTGGCAGGTTTCTGTTATCTATGTGGTGCCACTTACAGTAAATGTGAGGGATTTTATCTCCTTTTCGAGGTCAACGTTATCACCTAAAAGATTGGGAAGGGAGACGACCAAACAATGCAGTCGAAATCACGCTTTAAAACTTAAAAACTTACGATTTTACATTTCTAGGTTATCAAACGCTTTCGTTTCCATATAAATCTTTAGTGTATAAAATCGGACTAAATTGCACTTTAAAGCTTAAAAGCTTACGTTTTTACGCTTCTAGTTCACCAAAACTCTTTACGCTTTTACGCTTCTAGTTTACTAAATGGAATTCTTTTACATGAAATTAATTATAAAAATTATATTTTAAAGGTAAATCACCAACAATATGATGCATTTGAGATTAAAACATACATACCAGGTCTTGCATGCATTCTTAGCTTCAATAACGTAATCTAATTCACTAGTTCCCAAATTCATTAGCATAGAGGGGGTGGTGGCTTATTGTTAAAATCTATGTTTATGAACTTATTGTTAAGATGCCATGAATTGCTCTACTTTAGACATGAATAGCAAGTATTTATTAAGTTATCTAAATTACGTGCACTCATATTTTACATAGTATATATCGTACTTAACATATTTTAGTCATTTTACAGTATGCTTCAAAAACTTACGCTTTTACGCTTTGATTCTACTCTTTACGATTTTATCCCTTTCCCACTTCTAGCTAGAATCGCGTTTTTGACTGCATTGCGACCAAGAACACCTTAAGAGATGTTTAACATAATGCATTCAACAGCACGAAAAGGTGTGGAGCGAGCATTTGGCATATTGAAGATGCGTTGGACAATCTTAAGAGATACCACTTGGTTTTCAACCAAAATGGTTACAAAAATAGTAAATGCGTGTTGTCTCCTGCACAACTTCATTCGTGGAGAGGTTGGTTCTGATGTGTTTGAGAGGTTGTACGTTGATGAAGAAGAGGATGACGAAGCAGAAATCGAAGACGAAGAGCTTATACTCCACATCCAGCCTTTAGTAGAATGGTCAGAGTTCAGGTAGAAGTTGGCTCAAAATCTATGGGCTGCTAGGTCCTGGAATGCTAACTGATTAAGGGTAGCTATGATCACTTTTTGAGTTATCTCCCATGTTGGTGTATTGAACTAGTTGGAGGGGTTGGGATCAATTGAACAACTGTTACTCTAAGGGTCCATTGAACTTTTGTGTAAGAATATTTATGGTAGTATAAATGTCATAACAATGTGTAAGCTTATTCTGTTATAGTTACTGTCAACTGGTAGATTGCTTTTGTTGTGATAAAGTCTGCCATTCATTACTTTACCTATTAACCTGGTAGTGCAAGGGGTGGTAGTAGAGATTTGGTTGTTGGTTCAATAAATGTTTATTCCTATTTAACTCATAGTGCATGGCTTATTCAACAGAACTGGTTGGTGGCCGAGTAATTGCTTATGGCTGTTTAACTAGTAGTGCAGGCTGGTAGTACAAAACTAGTTGGTGGCCGAGTAAATTGCTTATGGCTGTTTAACTAGTAGTGGAGGCTGGTAGTACAAAACTGGTTGGTGGCCGAGTAAATTCATCACCTTCTATTTAACTAGTAGCGTAGGGTTGTTTCAGGGTAGAAGAAAAGGTTTGTTCCTTATGATATTCTCCAGATTGTTCCTTCTGATATTCTCCAAATTATTCATTATGCTGCTAGCTCCTTCTGCAGATTATTCATTATACTGCAAGGTCCTTTTGAAAGTTATCGTTGCTGATATTTAATGGTTGTTCTCTTAATGTTTTCCATGTTTCTTAGGAAGGTTTCAGTGAAGTACCTTGCTTAACAACTTCAACATGGAAGCTGATCAAGGTGAGGGTAATGATACAGGACACGGGAGGCAAAGGGAGTACATGAAATGGACAGACAATGATAATGTGATCTTCATTGAATGGATGCTGGACTTTGTTCAATCAAGGGAGGTTGAGTCAGGGAACTTAAAGAACAAAGGATTCAAGAAGCTTGAAGCTATGATGGCGAAGAGGATTCCTAGCTTTAATCTGAATGTGAAATTAGCGTTAGTTCAAAAACAAGTACAATGCCATATATGATGTTCAAAATGGTAGCTGCATTGGGTTTGGCTGGGATGAGTCCAAGAAAGTTATCGTTGCTGATGATGATGTTTTTAAGGAATGGGTTAAGGTACAAGCTTCTTCTTTTTCGTTAAAACTAGTCTGAACTAAAGCCAACAAATCCAGGCTTGAGTTTCGTGTTGTTTTATACTGATGGTGATGCTGGTTTGTAACTTGCAGACACATCAACACTTTTTTGGCCTCAACAGTAAGTCCTTTCTTTACGATGACCAACTGGGTAGAATGTTTGCAAAGGATAGAGCAGAGGGTGATCAAACCGGGGCTGCAACTGATATGGAGGTTGAGGGTCGTGTTTGAAGAGCACCTAGTGAGGATCCCATCATGTTGGATATTGAAACCAGCCAAAAAGTTCTTGAGAAGATGATTAATGAGGGTGTCTCCCATAGGGAATTGCTTAATGATTCAGAACCTGGTCAGGCTAAGAAAAGTACTGCAGGTGGAAGCAACAAGAGGTTGAAGACTGAGAAGGGTGTTTCCAGTAGTCTTGTTGTGGCTTCTAAAATTGAAAAGATGCTTCCTTTGATGGAGAAGACGTCCATGAACATAGAGAGGATGGCTAACAGCTTCTTTCATGAAGATCCATTGATGATTAGGAAGGGTACCTTGTTTGAGGAGTTGTCCAATGTTGAGGGTTTGTCACAAGATCAAGTGATGTCGGCTGCAATGATCCTTATGAAGGAAGATAGGCTTTCTCAGTTGTACTACCAACTACCTACAAATGAAGAAAAGCTGTGCTTTTTTGTGCGTTTAATCAATTAATCAGTTATTAAGGGGCATGATCAAACAATAAATTATAAGTGGAGAATAGTAGTTGTCTGTATTTTGTAATTCTCCACTTCATCTTTTGTAGCCTACATCTATTGATGGCTTGTTTTGATACTATAAGGCTCATAGCTCAGGATTATAAAGGAAATGGAATGTTGTAATTCTCCACTTCATCTTTTTGTCAAGCTACTGCTCTTCTTATGATTAGCCAGATTACTTATCAAACTTTGTTCTGTCAACATTGTTTATCCTTTAATCAAAGTTATTGCCATTTCCCATCACATTGTTTTTCAAGTTGCTGCTCTTTTTTATTCTAGCTATTGAGTTAGGTGGACTGAATTTGGTTTTCTCTAGATCAGGGACTCCAATCGTTCTACCCTGCTGGCAGATGCATGTCAACAGCAATGCAAGGTTTTCAACCTTGGAATTGCTGGGGATGACAAAGAAGAACTTGAAAGTTGAACAAATAAAAACAACAACTATAACATTGCTTAGTTTAATCAGTAAACTCAAGAGCACCAACTATTGCATTTCAAAAGAAAGCTTCATTCATTACAGAAAACATAGAATCTCAAACTTCTCAACAACTACACATTGATCAACAAAACAACTACTCTGCAACTCTTGTCCCTTCTAACATTAGAGAGACCAATGGACATACAAAAGACCAAAAGGCGAAACTACACTCTAGTGAACTCAACCTAGCTCTAATACCATCAAATTCATTATTCAAAGTAGAGACATTGTTCTGGGCAATTTTTATTTCCCGACTTCAAGCTTCCCCCTAGTAGTTCAGCAAGAGATTCCTAAATTTCATTGTTTCGTGCTTTGAGGGCCTCATTCTCTTAATGCAAACGGATATTGTCCATGTTTAAATTACTGACCAACGCTTCATACTTTTTTTTCTCCTTCTCAATTGCCACCCCTATATCGTGCCACAAAAAAAATCACAACTATCTCTGGCTGCAAACGTAAAAGGCTCAATTAGTTAAGCAAACCCAAAACTGAAACCCAAGGAAGTACAACACATCTGGAACCCCCAATCTAATCAACCGAACAAACTACCTGCTTTGGATTCCATTTAGGGCAGCTAAAGAACTTTCGATTCGGATTACCAGGTGTATGTGATGTTTTGACGAAGACAAGATATCAATATTTACAAGTGACAAAAATCTCTTCCTCGTTCTCATTGGGATGTAGTCGGCTTCGTCAGGAGGAGCTCATTTGGACGCAGCTGGATGTTCGACGGTGGCCGCAGCTCTCTCAATGGCGGAATGTTTCTTCTGCAACTTCTCTTTTCTTTTTTGTTTTGGTGAAAAGAACTCCTTCTACCAGCTGCAAATGCATACACAAGTTGGAGGAGAAAAATTATTAAAAATTGATGGGTATTTGGGTCTTTTACTATATAAAAGTGTTTTGGTTTTTGTTTTACGAAAAATTATCGGGTCGTTTGGATGCATCATTTTGGTTCTATGGTATTTCGAATCCAAATGATGCATTATTTTGCTATGTGGCATTTCATGTGGTATTTCATTTTGAAATGTGGTAATTGGTGTAATTGTCTTGTTTGGATAAAACATTCAAATATTGTGGTATTTGACCATTTAAAGAAGGGATGAAGTGGAAAAAGAAGTTAGGAGATGAGGTATTTAAAATAACTAGGAGGTGGGTAGGTATTTAAAATAACTCACAATGAGTTATTTCAATTGACTCATGGACAAAATACCACATTCTACTTTATTTTTGCCAAACGAGTGATTTTGATTGAAATACCTCATTCTGAGTTATTTCGACCAAATTACCTCATCAAAATACTGCATCCAAACGACTCGATACTATCACCTTCCAAACAAGGTATTTCTCAATTTCATACATTGATTCAATACATCACTTTCAAATATATTAATTGGAGAAATACATCAATTTGGAGAATCACATCCTCCAAACAACCCCTTAGTTATTGATGGCAGCATAGGCAAAGATCAAATGAGAGGCCAACCACCAGTCTCGGGCTTGTTTTTTAGGTATTTCAAGAAAGATAATCACGGTAAAGAAGACTGCTGGAAACTTAAGGCCAAAAACAGGAAAATGATGGAGTCAGGGCACAACTTTGCTGGTTCTATGAGCACTCCTGGAAACAATGGTAGTGGAGATTTATCCTCTTTTAGAGAACAATCTAAAGAAAAGAGTAAAGGTTTCAGGAATTTAAAACTCAGCACAGTGATTACAATAGAATTATGAACTTGCTTCAGCAATCTCCACCGGCGTCACCAAGTGGCTCTAGACCAAACTCCCCTGGAGTAATGCCTCAAGCTAATTCTGTCACCAGAAACTTGCCAAGTTTCCCCAACTTTGCAGGCAAGTTTACTCTTTATGCATACATCAGTAAAATATGTTGGAGTTGGGTGATGTGTGGATCATTGATACACGAGCTACTGACCATATATCTTTTAGTTTGTCGTGCTTTTTAGCTCATAAGTTGATTAATGATGCATTTCTCACCCAGTCTAATGGCCAAAAGGCAGAAGGCACTCATATAGGCATAGTGAATTTGCCATGTGGTTTAATCTTTCATCAAGTCCTTTATGTCCCATCCTTTATTTTTAATCTAATCTCAATTAGCAAATTGACCAAAAAACTTCCCATCTCACTTACCATCAAATCATCCTTCTGTGAAATCCAGGATCTTCTTACCATGAGGAGGATTGGCTTGGCCCATCAAGATAGAGGTCTTTACAAAATGTCTCGATGCTCCCATCTTGTCCCAGTGCCCGATGCTAAAGGAAAACCATCCGTTGTAGCAGCAACCTATAATTTCTCGCAACAGAACCTGGACTTGTGGCAATCAAGACTAGGACATCTATCCTCATTGAGACAAAATATTATTTCGCAAATTAGTGATGTAGTAGAGAAATATGTAGTAGATCACTGTGAAACTTTTCACTTTGCCAAGCAGAAGAAACTACCTTTCAATTTGAGTGATTTTGTAGCTTCCTCACCTTTCGATTTAATCCATGTAGACATCTGGGAGCCTCATTCTATTATGAGTTACAATGGATTTAGATATTTTCTAACTATTGTGGATGATTATAGTAGAAGCTTATGGGTTTTCTTGATGAAAGCCAAGTCAGAAGCAAGAAGTTTATGCAAAATTTCTGTGTTATGGTGAATGTACATTTTAGCAAGAAAATAAAGACCATCGGGTCAGATCAAGGCCTTGAATTTCACATGCCTGATTTCTATTCCCAACATGGGATTCTACACCAAATGTCCTGTGTTGAGGTTGCACAATAAAATGGAAGAGTGAAATGAAAACACAAGGACATATTGAATATAGATAGAGCTTTAAGATTCCAATATGGTTTACCTCTATCATTCTAGGCATATTGTGTCTACATGTTGTGTTTCTTATCAATAGATTGCATTCAATGTTATTGAATGGTGTCACACCCTTTGAGAATTTGTATGGCAAACCTTCATATTACTGTTTCTTGAGAATTTTTGGCTACCTTTGTATGCTAGAACTTTGTCACAAGGCAGAAAGAAATTTGACAGCAGAGCTAGGCAATGTCTCTTTTTGGGTTTCACTCCAGGTATAAAAGGTTACAATTTACAAGACTTGTCTTCTCATGAAGTGTTTGTCTCAAGGGATGTAAATTTCTATGAACAAATACTTACTTACAAAAGGGATTTTTCTCCTGAACCTACCACTTCCACTCACCTTCCTTCTCAACCTCTTTCTTTGGACCCCTTTCCAGATACAACCACACTTCCTTCCCCACAGCATCCACCACCAACACCACCTTTTGCATCTTGTCAATCTCCTTCCCTTCCTCGGATTGAGGACATGAGGGAGGGATATGTTCATGATGATGCTGCTTTTGAGGGAGAAGCTGACGAATTGATTCTTGATCCACCTGAACCTTGTTTACCTAAACCTTCTTTGAGAAGATCATATAGACAATCCAACCACCATCATACCTTTTTAAAAATTACAAAACACAAATTCCTAACCTTAAATCAACCAATTCAAGTCCACACTCACTAGACACCTTAGCCAATTTACTTTCGGATCAAAATCTTAACACAAAATTCAAACCTATGCTCTCATTGTTCTTAGCATGTCAGAACCAGATACTTATAGAGAAGCCATTCAACATGAATATTGGAGAAAAGAAATTGTGGAAGAATTGAAGACACTGCAAGATAATGGAACATGGGAGATTGTTAACTTACCATCTGGCAGAAAGGCAGTGGGATTTTATTGGGTATTCAAAGTTAAGCGGCATTCAGATGGCACTATAGAAAGATACGAGGCAAGATTGGTGTCAAAAGGATTTACTCAAATTCATGCCTCCTGGAATAGGTTTCTTGGACACTTATTCTCTAGTGTCCTAGATCAATACAGTTAAGATTTTGTTGCCTGTTGCAGCAGTCAAGAACTGGCATTTACACCAAATGGACGTTAGCAATGCGTTTCTTCATGGAGATGTAGATGAGTTTGTATATATGGAAGTTCTCTCAGGTGTAACAGTTAAAAATTATGAAAACAAACAAGTTTGTTTGCTCAAGAAGTCCTTATATGGACTTAAGCAAGTAGCAGACAATGGTTGCCAAGCTAACTACTTCGTTGTTGAAATTTGGTTTCAAAAAGTCTCAAGCGGACTATTCCATGTTCACATTGATCAAAGGTGAAGTGATTGTGATCCTCCTGGTCTATGTTGATGACAATATAGTTTCAGGAAATGAGCTATCATAAATTGTGAAAACAAAAGGCTTCCCTGCCAAGGAATTCAAACTAAAAAATTTGGGAAAACTAAGATACTTCTTAGGATTGGAGATAGCAAGAATCTCAAGAGGGATCTTCATTTTTAAGAGGAAGTATTGTCTGGATATGCTAAAAGAAGTTGAATTCCTTAGTTGCAAGCCAGTTTTAATTCCCATAGAGTTGAAGACCACACTTTCTGCTACAGTAGGTAATTTACTTCAAGATT